ATCAGTTTTGATAAGGGGTAGGGATGTATTCTTCAATGAAATCTGACATCCGTTAAATGCATGTCGTCTGGATATTTTTTTAAATTTTATTGTTAACGGCTGACGGCATTTTTTCTATTTGTATATTTAAAAATTTGGGGGCGGGGAAGTATTTAGCTTAGAATACGTTTTATTTAACTACAGTCTGAAAAATATTTTCACTTTTAATTTTTAATGTACTATATTTCTTTTAAGAGTAAGTAAATGTATCGGAATACAGTATGTAGAGTTATTTTCACATCAACTATAAGTATGTATATTATTAGGTAACAATTTTTTTTTAGGTATATATATATATATATATATATATATATATATATATCGCTTTTCCGGTTACCGTATAATAAACTGATACGTTTATTGCTCATGTGATAAACGGTTATGATTTCAAAAGTGATAGGTAGCAGTTAATGCTCGTGAGCCATTGCTAGACAGTTCGAGTGTCACTAGGTATCTGTCTTATATGGTCCTGCTGCTAAATTAAGTTAATTAAATATCTAGGTATATATCAAAAGTAATCCGTTGATAATTCAATTCACGCGGAATTGTAAGTATGGCGGGAGACGATTCCGAGAGGATCCTACCAGGATTTATTTCTGACAACCAAAATCTTAACCACATAAGATATGCAGATTACACGGTGCCAATAGCAGATACAGAAAAGAAACTACACGAATTCCTTTAGAAGGTTGTGAAGGAAAACGAGAAGAAATGACTAAAAATCAATTGCAAGAAAACGGGATACATGGTTGTAAGCAAAAGGAACGGTCTAACATGGAAATTACAAATTGGAGATACCAAAATCAAGCAAGTGGAACAATTTAAATATCTGAGAAGCATTTAATAAGAGAATATTCAAGTGCTACACCAGACTCTGAAGGTGCAACGGGATAGCGCAAGATGCTTTTCAAAGTATTAAGAAACAGTAAAATTTAGTTAGAAACAAGGAAAAAGAGTATTGAACTCTTGCGTAATATCAGTCCTCCTATATGGCTGTGAATGATGGACAATCTCCTCACAGATGAAGAAATTGAAGGTACATAAATCTGGTTCTACGGAAGGATGCTGAGGATACAATGGACTGAACATGTGAGCAACGACGAAGTTTTAGAAAAAATGGAAACAAAAAGGACATTTATATTCAACATCGGAAAGACTCAGTTGGATAATGAGGAAATAAAGCTTGGAAAATTTGACACACACAGGACATATTTAAGCCAAGAAAGATATTGGAAAACAGAGCATAATCTACTTAACGGACTTGTGCTAATAGTTAGTAGAACAGGATTTAGGAGCAATAAGAAAGGGACAAAATTTACCAAAAGGCAGGAAATTGTGGAGGGCCATGATCACCAACATCTTGTATGATCACGTTAGATAAAAGAAGAAGAAGAATACTGTGACGCCGCACATCGTCACTGCAAAACCTGTGATAACATCCAGCATCGGCTGTATACATGTATCCACCTAGCGAGCGATCTTCACAGGTTTATCACCTTGGCCTTGATCGAAGTCAACAAAGAATGACGACAAATGATTTTCAAGACACTGGTTGGGAACAATGCGATTTCTCGCTTCCGTCTATGTCCTCTTTCGGCCTCGTCGGGGTTGACTGTTATCCTACTAACTTCCAGCCACAAAAAGAGGACCTTATGTTCATTGACCGTCTAGGTGACTCCTGAGTGTTCACTGCTCGCTGGACCCTTTGACTATATTTAGTCGTCCCCCCACGAGGGCGTCATGTAGCACAAGGCCTTTTTAACGTGGGCATTTCCGAGCCATTAGGCTCGGCCAAAAAATAGCCCATTTGAAACCGTATAAACGGGTTCAGGGCCGGTTTTACCTCCCCGAAGGAGACTCCGCCCTTCGGCATAGCCTCCTTCGGGTTCCTCCCGCCCGAAAGCAGAGAGTTAAACCGAACCGTTCGCTCAGAAAGTGAGCGACGGACGCTGGACCCTTTGACACACACAGCTGGTCATCTACTGCTGACTTCATACCTTTCTCTGTTTATATGCCCCCCCCCATCCGTCGACATGTGTTCTGGAAAAGTAGACCATACAGAAGCTGGATAGGTGGTAAGTTTTCCAACGAACTCGACTTTTATAATTATCTAAAAACATTAAGAAAATTTAATGTTTGCCAATTCAAAGGCGGGCTGGAGACAGGAATCCTGAAAACTGGCAATTAAACTGACTTAAAGATGGACAGAAGATGAAATTCCTAAGAAACTCTGGTAATCAAATTGACTTAAAAGAAAAAGAATATATCTACACATCTCCTAATGATGTATGAGAAATCGTATTGTTATAATATTTTTATATGTAAGTTTTTGCAGTGCAGGAGTTATCGTCTTGACATTGACGGCACTAGGTGGCAATGTCTTTAATGCTACTTGTGTCATCTTATTCGAAACCTTATAAAGATGTTAATTTAGATCTTTGGCCTCAAATAAATAATGTGTCATAAAATAGTTTAAATGCTTAAACAAGCACTGCATTTATATAAAACCTATTTTTGTCTGATTCACTGCTGTCCATGTCAAAGGTTGACGCCATGACATCTTAAACTATATTATTCGAGTTGGAGCTGTCTTTGTAATCTTCGATCTTGTCGTCGCCCACAGACTCACATTTATGTTTTTCTTTCACAAAAAGAAAGTAATAGTAATGTCTAGCCAGCTATACAGAAATATCCACTCTCCTTTTTTAATACATATTTGTCGATTCCCCTAGTGTGAGGTGCAGGCTTGTTGCATTCTTGTGTCTCTAAATATTGTGCAAATTTTATATTTCAGTACATTACGTAGACGATATAAAATCTTATTTCTAGTTGATATGAACCAAAAATGTTAAATTTCAGTTAAATTTAGCTTGGTACAAAATTTATAAGTCATAGAGTTTTATACACGAGAGATTTTTCCAGCATTTTCTAGCACAATGTCAGAGGCTTCACGTGATACACTAGTGCGTATCATACAAGAATAATCACGATATTAATTTAAACTTCTATCTCTTCATATGTCATGAGGTACAGGAAATGCTCTTACTAAAGGAAGTAGGTATATATATATATATATATATATATATATATATATATATATTATCACTTTAAACGTTATTTTTAGTCTATACTTATATTTGATTAGACGCTCAGCTTATTTATGAAACAGTATTTTTTTCATGTGCCGGCCTAAATATTCGATGAATCTTATTAAAAATTTGATTTAAAATATCTCTCCGTGAGAGCGGATATTTCGATTTTTATTTTCGCTGATCGGGTAAAATAAATAAACATACTATTTAATAAATAAACTCTGCGTCTATTTAAATATGAGTATCCACTAAAAATAATGTTTAAAATGATAAAATTCTTCATGTATATATATATATATATATATATATATA